CCCTACACTGGTCCTACTGGAGGTCTTGCTGAGCGTCGTGAGCCTGCGTCTCGCCCTGCGTCGCCTGTCCGTGCTGCTCGCACTAGTGGTCGCGGTTCGCGTCAGCGTCCTCCTCCTGTCCCTGGCACGCACCGGATGTCTCTGCATCCGTCCACTGCTCCTCTGCGTGCCCCTTTGCCTTCTCCTCCTGAGTCTTCTCTTCCTACTCTTGCCGACCCGGAGTCGGACTCTCTTCGCGCTGCCAGTCCTACTGTCACGCGTCTCCTTGCTACGGTTGTCACTGACCCTTCCTTTGAGTCCACTGCTGCGTCTGCTCTAGTTGCTGAGCTCGTCGACTTTGCTGCTCGCTGTCGCCTAGACTACGTCGCCAGTCTTGTTGCTGAGTCTGAGTCTGTCTGTCCTCCGTCCGTCGGGGGTGAGTGTGCCCTTGGCACGGACGTCCTTGAGGACAGGCAGGAGGAGTTCCAGTGCTTGGCCGCTGCTTCACCTCATCTCGTGTCCGTACTGCTTACCCCTGAGGGAGACCCGGATGCACTTGACATCCCGACTCCGCGCTCTTACGCGGAGGCGATAGAGGGTCCCTACTCCTCTCAGTGGCAGGCAGCTATGGACGCAGAGATGGCTTCCTGGAAGTCCACAGGCACCTACGTTGACGCTGTTCCCCCTCCTGGGGCGAACATCGTCAGTGGCATGTGGATTTTCAGGGTGAAGCGACCGCCGGGTTCTCCGCCTGTCTTCAAGGCGCGTTACGTGGCTCGTGGCTTCAGTCAGCGGCAGGGAGTTGACTACTTTCAGACCTTCTCTCCCACCCCGAAGATGACCACTCTTCGGGTACTGCTGCACGTAGCTGCTCACCGTGACTACGAGCTATACTCTCTTGACTTCAGCACTGCTTTCTTGCAGGGCAGCCTGCACGAGGAGATCTGGCTGCGTCGCCCACCTGGCTTCACTGGGTCTTTTCCTCCTGGCACCCAGTGGAGCCTACGGCGGCCAGTCTACGGTCTCCGCCAGGCACCGCGTGAGTGGCACGACACACTGAGGACTACACTTGCGGCTCTTGGGTTTGCTCCCTCTACTGCCGACCCGTCGCTGTTTCTGCGCACCGACACTTCTTTGCCGCCGTTCTACATCCTCGTGTACGTCGACGACTTGGTCTTTGCCACAGCTGACACTGCTGGACTAGCCCATGTGAAGTCCGAGCTGCAGAAGAGACACACGTGCACTGACCTGGGTGAACTGCGCAGCTACCTTGGCTTGCAGATCACTCGGGACAGAGCACGCCGCACCATTACCCTGACTCAGTCACACATGGTGCAGCAGGTCCTTCAGCGCTTCGGCTTCACGTACTCCTCGCCTCAGGCCACTCCTCTGCCTACTCGCCACTCGCTCTCAGCTCTGCCTTCGGATGAGTCCGTAGAGTCGAGTGGCCCGTACCCAGAGCTTGTTGGCTGCCTCATGTACCTGATGACCTGCACACGACCTGACCTTGCATACCCTCTTAGCATTCTTGCACGCTATGTTGCTCCTGGGAGACACAGACCGGAGCACATGGCTGCAGCGAAGAGGGTGTTGCGCTACTTGTGCAGTACGTCGGGCATGGGGCTTGTGCTTGGAGGGCAGAGTCCAGTGGTCCTTACTGGGCACGCAGACGCTTCTTGGGCTGACGACCAGGCTACGCAGCGGTCGTCACAGGGTTACACCTTCAGCCTTGGTTCCGGCTCTGTTTCGTGGCGGGCTACTCGCTCGTCTTCTGTTCTCGGCTCCAGTTGTGAGGCTGAGATCTACGCAGGAGCCATGGCTGCACAGGAGCTTCGCTGGCTCACCTACCTGCTGACTGACCTCGGAGAGTTGCCTCGTTCTCCTCCAGTGCTGTACGTAGACAACAAGGCCATGCTGGCCTTGTGTCGGGAGCAGCGACTGGAGCACAGAACGAAGCACATTGCTCTCCGCTACTTTCTTGCTCGTGAGCTGCAGCAGCGTGGTCAGCTGCGTCTTGCGTACGTGGCCTCTGAGGCCAACACTGCTGATATCTTCACCAAGGCACTTGCGCCTTGTGACCATCAGCGCTTCTGTACTCAGCTGGGCCTTGTGCCTACCTTGCCTCACTTGCTCACCTCTTGATCTTGCTTGTACTGTTACATATATATATACCTGCTCTTGTTTGTCTAGCCTTTTTTATATATATGTGTACTCCTGCTTGTGAACTGGCCTTGTGGCCTTGAACTTGTGCTCGGAATGTGTGGTGACTTTGTGATCCACCCTGAGCTTGTTTTTGCTTTGCTTTGCTTGACTGGTCTTGTGACCCCTTGTTCTCCCCCACTTTGCCTATGGGGGTGTGTCAGATTTATATGACATAGCTACTGTAGGCTAGAGTGGGGTAGCACATATGGGGTACAGTTTTCTAGGGTTTGCTTCTTGTACCCAACTTTCACTTAGTCATTCTCATTCCTGTTTTTCTTGATTCACAGACCCACGATTGAACCGGCGGACATCCACGTTGGCTGGGGTCGAAACAGGGCGGGAGTTGCGGCTTGAGCGACATTGGTGCGACGATGTTGTCATGACCGCTCGTTGCTGCAAATTCGACGTGACGACCGGCTTCGCGAGGCCCGCTCGTGCTTGGTGCGACCCTGTTTCTCTCCATGCCGGGCATTGATTGGGCGACACCATCACTGGTTGCGCATGAGCTCTGTCCCACGCTGTCGTGATGTGACGGTGTGCCGGATGAAATGACAATCGGCTCATCCGATTGCGCAAGTGCATTTGCAGGTGCTTGTGTTGGTGCTGCTGCATTCACTGTTGATTGCTGGCGGGCGGAGTCACGTTCCTCCGTGAGTGTCGCGATTTCGAGCGCCGAATCCTCGAGTTGGCAGACGAGCCGGTCGAGATGCTCCTGCGTCAACGTCGCGAGAGTGAGGTCGGCCATGGCGGGGGTGTCGGGCAAGCCCAACGAGAGTCTCAGTCGTGGCCGTGCGTGCTTTCGAGAGAGCACTTCGAGCGGCGGTGCCTGAACGCTGAGAGACGTCTACCCCCTCCAAAAATTGAGATAGTGGGGAAGCGAAGGTGTGGGTGCGGTCCGAGAAGAGATCGTAGGCTCTGAATACTAAGTGTTACGAGTGCAATTGAGCGAGCGAACGAGAATTGCACTCTCGAAGCAAAACAATACAGTGAGCAAAGGCATGAGCGAAGAATATATAGCGAAGTTAGAGTGGTAACAGTAACGCGAGAAAATGGGGTACGCTACGGGCCTAGCGCCGAGGTTGGGAAATGTCGAGGCGGAGGTCCGGAGCGTGGGTTACCAACCGAACCGTGAGGTTGGGTCGCATCGTGAACAGTGGCGGGATTCGTAGTCGAGGCGAGTGTCGCTAACGTTTCACTGTTGGGTGCCGATGGCGGGAATGGTCTTGTACGTGGTAAGCAGGGGCGAGAAGTAAGGAAAAGGAATTTTCCTTACAGGTGCATTACCTCTAAAATATATTTTTTTCCCGTTCTAACGAAGGCAGCACTACCTACCGGTCCACCTCGGAATCTCCTCCTCACCCCACCTCACCTACCTTTTTACGAATCGCATCGCATGTGATTGGTCGATGAGGGGGCGTCCACCCCATCTCCTTGCAAGGCTGCGTTGCGCCTGAATGACGCTTTCCGCAACCCTGCGTTGCGCCAGGCCAGACCCCACTTCAGCAAACCAGCTTCGGTTCATTTCGAACCGCCCATGAATCAGCTGGGGGCCATGCACCCCCACCCAAGCCAAGAGGAGCCTTTTCATGCCACGTCATTGGTCGGGTTGCTGCGAAGGCCAGCACTCCACTCACTTCGGTCGTGACTCCCGACAGCCTTGAAATTGGCTGGACTGGGCGGGGCTGGTTTGGTGAGCTGGCTGGGATGAAGCCGAGGCCCGGGAACTTGTGGACTCCGTGGTTTGGTGGAATCGAGGCTCCAATCTCGAGGAGGCAGGTCAGGGCAGATGGTGAGGGGAACCTAGATTCTGGTCTGGTAGGCTGGTTGGTGCCACCAACTTGGCGGGGATTCCGCGATGCGAGAGTTGCGCTGAGCTGAGTAGGTGGTGACGAAGAGGTGGTGGTGAGGTGCGTGAAACAGCGTGACGGGCAGAATAGGTACTACAACTGCTCTGTTCTGCTGTGCTCCCTGTGGTCATTTAGCTTTTAGTCTTGAGATGAGCAGACAGACATGTCTTCCGTACGTTCGATACGATACCCTCGCCTCGCCTCGCCCTGCAACTTCACACACACCACAAGTTTGGAGAATTGTGACAAGTCACAGTATTCCCTTCCCAGTGAAATGGTTGAGCGTCCTCCACGGTGGCTCTATTGTACTTTCTGATTGTCGAGGCAAGAGGGCTAGAAGATCCGCTTGTCGCTGCTGTACTCTGGTCATTCTTGTTTCGCTCTAAATCCATTCCTTTCCACCAACACGACATTCAATCCAGACCATGCTCCCCCTAGATGCAGCTTATTAGGCGAACCTTAGAAATCGCTTGATCTGTTTAGTTGCTGGTTTGGACGGAAGTTATGAAGCAGCTCTTGTACCACACCACAGATTCGATAGCATTCACGCCAAGGAAGAAGCAGCACGTGACCAGCATTTTGAGTGGTAACCAGCAGGGACCCAGTGTTAGAGTTCCTGCGGGGACATCGCAGGCTACTGACCCGCTAATAGGCTTTCGCCCGTCTTCGCCTAGAACGGTTCTCTCCGCTGACTCGCTCACCCTGTCGCGCGGTTCCACGTCGGTAACTATAGAGTCCAACACCGAATCCAGCGTTCTCCAGCCGGAGCTGGAGGTGACAAGCCCCGCGTTCGGCGCTGATAAGGGATGTAGCGTCGAGGAGTTCACCGATTTGAGTTTACGCGAGGAGGAAGGTGACTGTAGCGATCCTGCACGTGACTATACCGAACGGCACGCGGTGTTTACAAAAGGCACGGTGGGTGTCGCGGTATCGAACACGAAGCGTGCGAACAACGAGCGGGACAGTGAAGGAATGTGGAAGGTAGCCAAGCGACGATGTGTGGCCTTCGATTGTGTCACGCTTCCCCATCTTCCTTTGTTAGGGGAGCCTCGAATTCAGCCAGACGTGCGAGAACCAGATGCCACCACATCTTCACCAGCATTAGAACCGACGAGCCGAAGCACCACGAGCAAGTCTCCCAGCCCAGTTTCGCGCCCTCCAGCAATCCCTCTCACAAACCCGCTACCATGCCCCACAACTAGCGATCTCCCAGTTCTCTCATGTCCCTTAACGCGTTTCAAGCGGCAGCGGCCACCGACTATAGATATCCCGCGTAAGGGCTGCTTCACATCGTCACCGGCCGGCACGCCGGATTCAGCGGCGGAGGATGCGCTGGACGGCGTGGTGGAGGTGGCGGAGAGCGGCGCATGCTTCGCGGTGGCGTGCAAGCGCGGGAGGAAGGCGGTTATGGAGGACACGTACCAGGCGCTCATGGGGTTCGCAGGCCGCGAGAGCGATGTAAGTGTCAGGGGGATCGGGGTTATCTGCCCTGCATTTTGCGTGTCATGGACATGCGCATCAAGCGCTGCTGGGTTTCGCAGGGCGCGAGAGCTATGAACGTGCAGGGGGGGTAGGGGTTGTCTGTTCCACACGTCATGGATACGCGTCTCTCATGGATATGTGTGTCATGAACATTACGTGTCATGGTTTTTCCACGATTGCTTACCGCTCTGGACCACACCGCTCTGCGTCCCGCTGCAGGCGTTCTTCGGGGTGTTCGACGGGCACGGCGGCACGGCAGCCGCCAAGTTCGCAGCGGCAGAGCTGGCGGGCCACGTGGCGCAGGCAGCCGCGCGCAGAGGCGTGAACGCCAGTGCGGCTGCGCTGGTGGAGGGCTACCTGGAGACGGACAAGCGCTTCCTGGACCAGGTGCGTGTGAGGATGGCTGGGTGCTTTCTGTCTTGCTGAGTGCCTTCTTCTGCCTTGTTGGATGCCTTCTGCCTTGAGTGCAAGGGTGGCTAGATGTTTTTTTCTCCCCCGTCCTAGCGTTCCCGTTTCCTCTGTTAGCGTTTGTCATTATTTTTCGCCCCCACCTAACTTCTTCCCTTCGCCCCTCACTGCGTCTCTGCATTGCCCCACTTATGCATATGCTACAGAACGTCGCCAGTGGCACCAGCTGTCTCACCTGCTGGGCCACGCCTGGGCGGCTTCTTCTGGCGCATGCAGGTGACTGCAAGGCGGTGCTGGTGAAGGGGGGGAGAGCGGTGGCGCTGACAGAAGACCACCGGGCGAGCAGGGAGGACGAGCAGGCCCGCATCACCGCTCTGGTAGGTTCTTTGAATCGAGACATCCCAATCCAACCCCCCCCCCACCCCCTGTCACTGGATCCAGCAGCGCCATGCTTAGCTTTTCCTGTTGAAGGATCTAGTCTAAGGAGGCATTGGTTCCCCGCTTGACTTATTCCTCTGCTGCTCCTCTCACCCCTCCGGGCCCTTCCCTCCCGCCCATGTCTCCTCTATCGCAGGGTGGCTTCGTAGACACGGCCACGGGCATGCCCCGCGTGCAGGGCATTTTGGCAGTGACGAGGGGCATAGGCGATGCGCACCTGAAGGCGTTCATCACGCCACAGCCGGACGTGGCGCAGGTGCGCGTGGGGGCGGACTGCAGCGCCCTCATCCTCGCATCAGATGGGCTCTGGGATGTTGTGGCACTGCAAGAAGGCGCTGACGTGGTCATGGCTTGTGTTGGGGCAGCATTGGAGGCACGGGCAGCAGCGGGGGAGGCGAAGGCAGCAGAGAGGGAGGCGGGATCAGGAGGTTCTGCACTGCTGGGTCCGCCTGCCTCTCCCCCGTGCAAACGGCTGCGAACACAGCACACACACGGCTGGTCGGCTGAGCCATGGCAGGAGAGGGAGAGGGAGAGGGAAAGGGACAGGGAGAGGGAGAGGGATTGCAGGAACCTGTTCAGCAGTCCACTAGGCACACCTCCCTGCACACCACGCTCGCACACGACAGCCACTACCCCTCCTTGCACCCCCCGTTCCCGTGCCTCCTCCACCCCACCTTGTATGCCCCGCCCGCGAATCCCCACCACCTCCACTCCCACCACCACCACCGCCGCCACCACCGCCACCGCCACCGCCACCACCACGGCCACCACCACCACCACTGCCACCACCACCACCACTGCCACCACCACCACTCCACCCAAGCCCCGCCGCCTCTTCTCTCCTCATTCCCTAACCCGCCCTCCCTTCACACCTCCGTGGCTCGATGCCTCTTCCGAAACTGCGGTGTGTGTGAGGCCAAACGCTGTAGCATGGACTCAACAAGAGGATGTAGCAACTGAGGGCCCACCTGCTGTGGCAGAAATACAGCAAGGGGGTGTACTAGCAGCAAGGGAAGGATCTAGTCCCAGCGAGTTGGGAAGAGGGGATTGCAGTGGAGGTGGGGGTAATGGGAAGGGAAGGAGTGGGGGGGTGGGAAGAGGGGTGGATGGAGAGGTGCTGCTGAGTGCATGCCAGACATTGGTTGGCATGGCAGCAGCACGGGGAAGTAGGGACGATATAACAGTCATGGTAGTGTCTCTTGTACCCTTTGCTGAGTCAGCAGCATCTTAGGTTGCTGCTGACTCAAATCAAAATGTTGCTGATGGCTTTGGTTGGCATCAGCTGGAAGTGCCAAGTGTTATGTACATGCACTTGCACCTAGTGTACCGTAGTTGATCCATATCCAAGTACTTTGTATTGTGGAGGGAAGGAACACGTTCACATAATATTCATGACTGGCACCCTAAAAGTGGACTGTCTGGTTCACCAAAACACACTTCTTTCCATAATAGTACACACCAACACTACAATACACGAGTACTACCAACGCAACCAGCTCCTACAAACTTAGCAGCCCTAATCAGACTATCAGAACCTAACCTACTCAATCTGAACATCTACATACTACAATTTTAGCGCATCCTACAGTGGTTATACCATCAGAAAGGAGAAACCAGGAACCTCCAGAGCTTGCAGCATATGGCTGCTAGGTGCATCGAAAGATTAGCGCAGCAGGGTCTTGGAGGCAGTCGCCTGCACTTCCATGCCATGCATGCCGATGCACTGCTGACATAGCACGGTATGGCACGGCATGGTAGGGCATGGCATGAGGCAGCGTAACGCGGTTCTGTGGGGAACGGAGGGGCTCTCTTTGTACCTCTCACCGCCCTGAGTGAGAATATCAGTGACCTGGGATGGCTGTTCAGGTGAGTCTAGCACTTGCGGTGAGCGAGGGGTTGAGAGGAGTGGAGGGGGGTTGAAGGCGTCATAGATCTAAGAGTCTGGTTGTGTAACGCTGCAGAGGGTTCCCAGTTTACTCAAAATTGCCTCGTGCAGGAAGTGGGGCGCGCCTTATCAAGGCCCGGAAGGGAGGAGGAGAGGCTTAATGGAGGCCCGATTTCAAAGGAAAAGGCGGGTGGGTAAGCTTGGGTAGGAAGGAGGCGAAACGTGCAGCATGCGTTAAGAGCACCACGTCAGCATGCGTTAGAAGCACGTCAGCATGCGTTAAGAACACGTCAGGAGGGCGCCAGGAAGTGTAAGAGGAGCTCCGGCTGACAGGGCAAGCGGGGCAGCAAAGCTAGGAGCCCCAGCAGCACCACCGGCAGCAGGAGCTATTGCAGCAGCAGCAGGAGGAGCAGCAGCAGCAGGTGGTACCGCGGCAGCAGAGTCAGAGGCGAGCGGTGAGGGTTGTCCGTGGGCCCTGGCCGCCATGGCCTCTCGCTCCACCGCCTTCTTGTGACACCTGCCGGGGGCACCAGTAAGAGGAGGGACAATACCCGAGAGGGGCAAAGAAAAAAAGGCGGTCAGAGAAAGGAAGGGACTGGCGAAAGGCGCTAGCTGCGTGAGGTAATAAAAGCCGGCACGTGTACTGAAGGGGCTTGCCGCACGTGTCAGGACGTGCCACGTGGCCTTACCTGGACTTGCCGTGTGTCCGCAGCGTGCTCCGCTGCAGGTCGACGGCGCCGTCGCGCGTGAACGGCGTGGGCTCGTCCGCGCACCACCGCAGGCACAGTGAGCACCGCATCGCCTGCCGCCCGTCCGCGCGCACGTGCAGCTCCGCCCAGGGGAATGCCGCTGTGGGGGAGAAGGCGGAGGGGGGATGGCGGGCGCGGAGGAGAGGGGCGCAGGAGAAGGGCAGAAAGAGGGGGGAAGGCAGAAAGGGTAGCGAACACGAAAAGAGGAGGGAACAAGGGGAGAGGAGAGGAGAGGGGGAAAGGCAGGGGGAGAACTGTTGGGACCTAGTGCCAACGCGGAGTTAGCAGGGTGAATGCGGGATGCTAAGAAGCTTCGAGCCACAATACACACAGCCTTCCTCGCAACGCATCACACGCAGAATGCGAGCAACGGGCCACGTCAGCATCGCCTAATACCCGTGCTGCCCATTTGCAATTTACGTCTCGCTAGCGCTGCCACATTGCATTAAACTTACGTCGCCATTTCTCGGGCCGCCAGCAGTGCTTCGGCTTCTTGTTCGGCGACGCGCCGCTCCCCTTCTCCCCCCCGCATGCACGAAACGACTCTCCCTCCATTGCGGTCAGATCCCTTTTGCCGCATTTCACGGGATCGCTGTCGAGAAGCTGAAGCGCATTGGACGGCAGAGATCCATTCGCGGCGGCAGGTGTTTCCAACGACACCACAGCCGTCGGAACGGCGACGGTGCTCGCGTCTGCGAAGTTCAACGACAAACCTCGTACCACGGGCCTTTTCTCGCCAACGTTTCGCCACGGCGCCATTCTGACCTGCGACGCAGTAGGCAGTGCGAGGCACGGCCGTGAGTTGTGGGGCGGGGACGTGTGTTGCGGAGGCGCGGGGAAGAGGGAGAGGCGCAACGCGCAGTCCGCCTCGCGCGCTGCTTGGCGCTCGAACCCTGGCGAGATGGGCGACGAGCGCTGAGACGTCGGCGGGGTGGGGGACGCGTCGACAAGGGGCGGAGCGAGCGAGAGGCGAAGCGAGCAGGGGGCATCCTCTTTATAATGCTCTTCGTTGTCCGCTTTGTGGTCGAGGCTCGAGTTGGCGGAAGACGAAGATGAGGGGCAGGCCTTGCGGACGTGTGACACGGACGACGGTCGATCACCCGTGAACGTGGAGGGACGATCGGCAGTGAAGGTCGAGGGACGATCAGCCGTGAGGGGCGATGGGAGGTCGCATCCTGCTGTCGCTGGCGCTGGGCCGACGTGTCGTGGAGGGGATATTTGCAGAGATGGCGCAACCAGGTGAAACGCGGAGCGTGCACTGCAGCCTATTCGTACGTGGTGAGCCGAATCGGCGCTATTTTCTGCTCTGCTATTCACCGCTCTTCTGATCGCCGCCCCAGTAAAGCCTGATCCGCAATTGCCTAGCCTAATGTTTACCCCGCTCCTGTTCTCGGTCTCGCTAGCGTCTACGGCGGAGGTCGCGGAGCTAGAAGGCGAGTGACGCGGAAAGGGAAGGTCCTTTCCCGGCGAACTAGATATCAGGTCCAACCCAAAGGCGGGAAGATTATCATCCGTGTCTTCCATAGCAATACCAGCACTAACTCTGGCTATCTTTCGATCAGGCGGTGAGTTCGGAAAATGAAATGGTGGAGATCAAGGGAGCTTGGTATGACGAGGCTGGCTTTGCCGCCAGTGCTGTGGCCAGGCGGCTGACTGAAAAGGCGTCAGAATATCTTAGCTGCAGTGCTTTTGGTGTGGAGACCTGAGGGTTCCGAACAAAATTGCCATAACCCAAGGGTTCGCCTTTCTCTAGCCCTTGCTTTTGGTTCAGGAGCCTGATTCGCGGCGCTTGCGAGGCGTCCCACCTTTACTGCGAGGAAAGGAACTAATCTGCGGCAGAAAAGGAGCCCCCAGAGGCGCGTAACGCTCGCGGGTGGTTTAGCTGTGCTGGGATGAACCGTCCGTAGTCGCCGCAGCAGACACTGGATGGGAGTGAGAGACGGGGGAGTGGCGACAAAAATAGCCAAGGGAGAGGAGAAGAGAAGAGGCGCAAAATGTCAAAATGTGGGTCCGAGGCGCGCGCTGGTAATCACTGTGCAACGCACCCTGCTGCTTGCCCCGCACTCGCTGCCCTAACCTAGGGCGATAGTTGAAAATGCGTGGCGCAGGTGATTTTCGCGACAATGGGAATGGCGAAATCAAGGGATCGTCAAGCCCTTGTACGATGCAATGCGAGTTTTCGTCAGTGGGTAATGACTGTCACCTCGTGCTGTTCTGGTTGACGAAGCATCGCAGAGGCGTTACACGAGCCTCAACCAAACCCCGAGTGCTGCTGATGTAGAAGGGCCATTTCGTTCATGGGGCATCGACTGCACAGCTTCGTGACATCGCCGAGTCGCCACGAAGGTGGTGGTCCTCCAGAGCGGCTCGATTAAATATGCCACGTGGAGGGCGCAACCAGCAGCCAACAAAACCCCGCCAGCACGTCAAGGCTCTGACATCTGACTGACACTTCAGGAAAATGAGATTGTACGCGATCATTGAACGCTCGCTAGCAAAATCATGCATCTACATTATTACTCTACCTTGTTATGTCTGAGTGAATGGTGTAATTCGAACTCCTCCATATACACATGCAAAAAAACCTAGAAAGTTGGCGGGAAGCCTTGCCTTGAACTTTGACACAAACGCGGGGAAACACGACGGCTAGCGTCCTAGTCTTGGCAGTGCCAAATTCGTGAGCAATATCATATACAGGAGGAGGTCATCATCGGGGCTGCACACCTAGCACGATAAACGCGTTGCGAGGCCGTCTTTTACCTCTTCAGATTCGACAAGTGACAGCGGGAACACCAAAATCCGCTCTGTTTCCCAATCACATGCAGATGATCAACTCGTGGTTTCAGGGTGGTCCTAGCTTTAGAGATGAGCCCGTGTCGCTCATGGATAGCTGGCGGGCGTATGAGGCCCAGGGTGGTGGATTAGACATGGAGAGTGGCGAGGGTGCGTCGTCGTCTGGAGCAGGTGGCGGCGGATCTTCAGGAGGTGCAACAGCTAGCGGGATTCCTGGACTTAGCTTCGACGCTTTCACGCCGTATTTTCAGAACGCGTCCGATTCCGTCAATGCGACATGGTCGAGGTGAGACAGCATCTAGTTCGCGACTGGAAATACGAATTATTCCAGCTTCTAATGCGTTTTGGTAATGCTGCTATTCACTTATGGTTGTCAGCACATGCGGACCTTACTGAATCATATTCCTCCCGTGACCCCGCCTCTCTCCCTCGCATTCCCCTCACCCGAAACCTCCAGTGTTTCAAAGAACGTGCAGGAGTTGCCAGGAAGCATACAGAAGCAGGCGAACGTGCTGCCGTCGCGGAAAGCCCTGATGTACTTCGTGGTGGTGCTGGCGACGGGCGTGTTCTTCCTCTTCCTCGCCTTCTCCATGTTCCTCCCGGTCATTGTGCTCGCTCCTCAGAAGTTCGCTGTGTGCTTCACCATTGGCTGCCTGCTCGTGGTGGGCTCCTTCTTTGTGCTCAAAGGACCCATGGTGCAGCTCCAGAGCATGACCTCCGCTGAGGTACGCCATGCGCTTGTACCAGTGGTTGAAAGACGTTGAGTTGATGCAGCATCTGGAGATGCAGGGTTGAGGAGTTGGAAAGTCCTGGTATGACATCTTTGCCTTTGTCTTCGTTGCTCCCCTTGCAGAGGCTCCCATTTTCGCTGTTCCTTGTTGGAAGCATGGTCAGCACAATATATTGCTCAATGGTGCTTCACTCTTATCTGCTTTCAGTTATATCGTCGGGAGCACAGGTGCGTAGACTGACATACCCTCCTTTCATTATATTTGATGTGTTTCGTTTTGTGACTTCAGTTTGCTGTCTGCCATCAAGTTTTTCTGTTTTTTCACACAATGTGTTCGGTGCCAGACTGCCAGTCTGCTGGATTCAGTTCCTTGTGTATGCTGTTGGGTTCATTGCGCCACAGGTGCTTGCACTTGTTTACTACGTCGTATCTTTCTTCCCTGGCGGCACTACTGGCTTGCGCTTTCTCACATCCATGTTCACATCAGCTGCTACCAGCCTAATGAGATAATATAATTATGCTGCCAAACATTAGGAATACATTGTATGCTGTAATGTTTACTGTATTTGATGCTGTAGATCTAACTTCAATGCATGAACTGGATAACGAGGAAGGGATGAGGGTGTTGCCACGTGGTTGCGCTTGTGGTGAAAATGTCTGTTGGTGTCTGACAGCATAGCCATGCAAGATCTGCGACGTGCGTTCGCGAGACACAACGATGCGTGGTTTCCCGTCGCTCTTGCATTTGTACATTCGCAGTGTCCTTTGAGAGCTGGCTGGCATCAAATACAGAACTGTTACCATTGTTCATCCATCACACTCCAACCAAGCCCGTTTCTCGTAGCGCTGATTCTAGGACTGATACTAGGACTGGTTCTAGGACAGGACGGTGTCAGGGTATCATAGATACCAGCTGTCTAGTAACCTCACTGGTAAATAACCTCGCTGGTAAATAGCGCAGACACCTAAAATATCATCGAGCTGTGATTTTTTGCGAATCACCAAGTCAGGAGAGATTTGTGCAGGTGCCGAGCACGAAGATATCATGGCAGCCATGGGGTGTCAAGCAATGATGAAGGTGCAATACCCCCGAATGCCACAGAACTGCGAGCAATGCGAGTCCCGCTGGTGTGATTTCCTCACACGTTACCCGAATGCCGTGCATTTTCTGACTTCGATTCATCCGTCGTCGACGCAATGCTCTGTCGTCTCAACTCCTATGTTCTCCTCGTTTTCCCACAATGCCTTCCCCAGTCGTTCCTCGTCAGCACCACTCTCAAGAATGGCTGCGATTCATTTCACTCACAAGCCACCAGCCGACCAGCGTCACATGGCCGTCGCAGCTCGCCGCGTCTGGTGGTGAGAGCGGCGGCGAAGACGGCGGATGATCCGGCGGCAAAGGCGCTTCAGGCGAAGTCGTTAGGCGAGCTGCGGGCCATGGCGAGGGAGAAAGGGTTGCGCGGAGATACCAAGGCAGAGCTGGTTATGCTGCTGCTGCAGTAAGTCCGTCTATTGATCCCCTCGTGCCTCCAGAGACGAACCAGCAATAAAGTTCCAGCACGTGGCAAGCACGAGCTGCTGCAGCATTGTATATAGCATTCAGCAGCTCATTACGCACGCCGGACATGTCGCCGATTTCCTGCTGGATGTGCTCTTGCTCTCTCCCGTCCTGTGACCAAACCACGTGTAACCACCCGTCATGTAACCCACCCTCGTGTAACCACCCATTGTGTGACTCTCCTCCAGGACCCAGCCGTCCTCGTCATCCCCCGTGCACCCGTCCGCGGTGATCCCTCCCCCTGAATCGACGCGCAGACCCACCACTCTAGCTCCCACCGCCACCAGCAGCACATCTAGCGGGGTTTCCGGCGGCAAGGGCGGCAAGTCCGAGGCGGCGAAGGCGCTGGAGGCGATGAGCACGGCGCAGCTGCGCGCCATGGCCCGGGAGAAAGGGCTCCGGGGCGACACGCGCGCCGAGCTGATCAATCTCCTCGTGTAAGGCGTACTTATGGACTGTAATTATCCCAGCCCAACCGCCGCACCTGCTGTGAGTCAGGCTGGCGCATCCCCGGTGTAGGTCACAGTGACGCATGCCTCACTGCTGAATCCACTTTATTCGACCTGTCCTCTACCGCTTATTTCTTCCGCATAATCGCTTCGCTGGCCCATCCCCTCCTATCACCTCCCTTCACCTGCCCCTTCCCCTCATCCTCCCCTCCTCAGAGCCGCCCTCCCCCAGTCCGCCAAGCCCACCTCCAATGCGTCCGTCATGCCGCGGCCCCTTCCCCCGTCCGCCTCGCCTGCTGCTGCAGCAGCCGCCGCAGCAGCCTCTGGTGACGGCAACGGTGCGAGCAGCAGCAGCAGGGAGTCCGAAGTGGCAGAGGCGGAGGTGGTGCTGCCACCGTTTGCCTCGGACATCCCCCCTGGCGGCATTGCCATCAGCCAGGTGCAGGTGAGGTCAAGACAGGCAGGATGGGAACTCGGAGTACGGGGATACGGGGGAAAGGGAGTAGGGGAGGGAGTTTTGGGAGGAAGCTGGTGCATGGCTGCTCGAATGGCGTTGTATTGTATTCGGGTTAGCTGTATGAGCGCTTTCAGTCCTTTCAGGACTCTCATCCTCACACCTTTGTCACTCCCTCTCGTCCCTTCACCCTGAAGCAGCCCAAGGCGGGCAGTGGGGCGACGTCAAAAGAGGTGAAGGAGGCGGCAGCGGAGCTGAAGCAGGGGCAGTTCGTGCGCTCCGTGCTCATAGGCGGCTTTGGCCTCGCGCTCGTGCCTCTCGTGCTGCCCCTCGCCCCCACCAACAGACTCGTCCCAGGCTCGCCTGCTGAACAGGTAGGTCCAGCCCCAGGGTGGTTAGTGTCCAGGGGGGTGTTCACTGATGCGTAATCTTGGGCTAAGGCAGAAACAAGGAAAACATTTTGGTGTAAATGTTCGCACAGTGGTAAAGCAGGTAACTCCATTCCGGTACCTGCACACTGTACTTCTGCAGCAGCGGATGACAGATAGGAAACACATCTGCATTCATCTGCTCCCCCCCGCGCATGTCACATCGCCAACAAATACCTATTTTGCATCCGAGTTCTCTCCATACATCTCTCTACTCCCACCAGCTGGCAGCACAGCTAGGGGAGGAGGCGACAGTGCTGCTCAACTCACTGCTGGACACGCAAGCTGTCACAGTGAACCAGCTGCAGGCGCTCATGCCTCTCATCTCGCCAGACCTGGACCCCACCACGCGGGCTGCCAGAGCTGCTTGGTTCTGCCAGCAGGTGCCTCCGGCTGCTCGCTCGGAACAGGCGGAGAAATTCTGCAAAACTGTCGCTCAGATTGGCATTCGAGCAGCCGCTCAGTGATTTATTGCCTTATTCCCCTGCATAAGGGCCTGCTGGAAGATTGTCTGCGGTTGGCCAGTCGATTGGGTGGACATTGGGGCCCTTTCCCGGCAACAAGCGCCAGGACTCACCTTTTGTTATTATACATTCTTGTCCGGTTTGCGAGACGATGCTTTGAATCGTTGGCCCACTTCCTAATGCTCGAGAAGCTGAGGTTGACAAGATGGTCCTGGATTGGGGCGCATCGGGATTCAGGGGCGCATCAGGATTCGGGAGCCATGTTTAAAATCACGCAGCCTTCCTGTGCGGAGGTCAAATTGATGCCAAACACACTTGAATCCTTTTTTTCAGAAGCAACGCATGTGCTTAGCATCACCTGGTACTGTGACGGTTGTTATGTAAATGTTTCTGTTTGATTACCTTCCACCAGCAGTTGGAAGCTGTGCTGGTCCTTGTTTTCTGTTACTGACAAAGATGACTCTAAATAGCTCATTACGTACTAATTACTTGTGAGTCGCTGTACGTTTTCTGTGTACCGATCACATTTATTTGGAGATGGATGAAACAAGCATTTGGCATGTGGATGTGCCACCATGGCACATGCTCGGAGTTGGAAAGCTGGTCGCCGCTCATCGTGTGGATGTCGTTCGTGGCGCTGGAAAGCACGAAGGTCACGCACTACGAAACTGAAGCATCGCCAGAAGCCACATCGCATGGTAAGCATGTGGAGGAAGCTGACTGTGAACCTGTTTCACCAATCCCGTCATCGAGGAAGAGCCACATCATCTGATGTCGCGCCCAAAACAGAGGCAAAACATGCGGCGTCCTTGCGCCTTACGCCCACGCGGAATCCATGCCATTTCCACTTGTGTCTACAGTATTCACTGTTGCGCGATTGCCGATCACCACCGGTGCACCACCGACTTCGGGTCGGGGCGGAAGAACGAAACGCACCAACCAGCCAACCGTCGGTGCAGGTCCAACCTGCTTGGGCTGTGTCAGCTCAGCAAGTGCGTGTGCATTTGTCATTGCACGAGTGCGCTGGCATACAGCAAAGCCTCGCTGAGATCCCCTCGGAAACGCAGAACCGTCCCGCACCCCGCAGAATGCAGGTTCCACCCAAGACAACGCTGCGACTGCTTTGCTTCAGCGCAACTTTCTGGCCTTGTTGGGAGGGCACACCATCTCAGATCCTCCTCTTGCTTAGAATTCCATCCCAATACATGACCCTCCACCCCTCCTCCATCCTCCTCCACCTCTTTCCCCAGCCTACCCGCCACAACCTCCTCATCCCCCCTGCTCTTCAGAAAGTGGGTGCATAAGCTTAGCTCAATATCGCAGATTGCTTTCGCTCCATCACTTCACACTCTAATCTCTACCTGACTAAAATCGGTCCCCAGTGCACTTCAGTTCGCCGGGACGTCTAAAGGTTTTCACACCCTTGTGATCACTCGAGGATATGGAGTGCTCAGATGCTTTGCGGTTATCAGTAGGGAGAAATCTAACGCTTGGGCCTTCATGGCAAACCCAACCAGATGGCTCTGACTCAAGGTAGCATCATATCTCCGCTGCCAAAATTCGCATTTGTTTTAGAATCTTGTAGCCTTCTTTCGCTGGTGGCGATAACCTAATCTCCCCCCTGGTGACATTTTGTTCAAATCGTTTCAGAAGTGGAGGAGCTGGTCACGGTCGTCAAATAGAGAAGGATAGTGTGGTCGTCAGAAAGAGGTGAGTTCCAGACTCATCGCACCTCATTCATGCAAAACTTTCTCGTTGAGAGTTACGGTTATTAAACAAGGTTACCTTTATCGGGCGTGCAGGCCTCGAGAAGAAGCTGCGAAAGACCTGCTCTGCACGAAAGCAAGTCGCGAGAAAATGCGACGTGATCGCTTGAACGACAGGTTGGTGTGCGAGGCGAGAATCTCTTCGAACTGTTTTTTTTTTTTTTTTTTTTTTTTTTTTTTCCCTGCGTTAGCTTGGATGCCGGCAGACTTGCAAAAATGATCAAGCCAACTGACTTAATGTATTATGTGCTGCAGATTTCTTGAGTTGGGGAAGGAACTCGACCTGGATCTGCCTCCCAAGACGGACAAAGCCGTGATCCTGAACGACACAGTGAAGCTTCTGACGCGTTTGAAAGAAGAGGCGATTGCCCTGACAGAAGGCAACCGGCAACTACGTGACCAGATAAAGGAATTAAAGGTAGTTCCCGGGCTTCTTCCTATTTCACCGTTTGTTTACCTTCTTCTGTGCATGTATTTTACGGGATGCAAGAATTGCCCTTAAAGAAGGCATTTATTGAGTATTGCCCTTTTGTACCCCTCCACACCGTTCTCCCCTGTCTGCCGTGCAGGTCGAGAAGTCGGAGCTCCGCGAGGAGAAGTCACGGCTGAAGGCTGAGAAGGACGCGCTGCAAGGGAAACTGCACTCGTTGCCCGTCCCTGCCACTGGTTGCTTCACATCCCAGGCAGCAGCAGCAGCGGCATCAGCCGCACTGCAAGCTGCAGCAGTGGCGGCGTTTTCTGGTCAAATTACAGCCAAACCAGCAGACTACAGCCCTGTGTTTTCTGTGCCTCCGCCTCCTATGGACCCAGCGGATCAGAACACGGGCATGTGGCAATGGTTGCCGCCCAATGCTGCTGACATCTCCAGGGATCATATTCTTCGCCCTCCTGTTGCTTGAAAGCATGTGTCACCAGGCGATTTTACGTGGTGCTCCATGCGTCGCTTACATGCGTGCTCCAGGCACGCCATACGCAGCGGTCTCACACAGTGACATTTTTGCACCAGCTGGGTGCAGTGCAAGTTGCACTTCCAAGTGCAGCTGACAGCAAGGTCAAAGCAAGCAGGGGGGGGGCATGAGTCTGCTCTCAGCAAGGAGGGCGCTGCTGCTGTGTGCCGGGCTCTCCTTGCAGTTTTTGCAGTTCTCAACGACACTTGCCATCTGCTACATACTGCAGGGCAAGCATTATTATTACAAGTGTGAAGAGTGGACAGGTACCGTACATAGACAGGTGCAGGATATTACATCTGTATGTGGAGTACGGTACTGAAGTTGCAATGCAAGTGTACATTTGAAAAGGCATTCTCATTCTGTTTCCATCGAATGTGCATTTCAAAACAAAGAAAGCAAGCATCCTTTTCTTGTACCGGTACACTCCATGCATAGGTGACACTTCAACCAAGACAAGCTGTAAGAATACTGCAGAACTACTTTATTACAATCTTCTGGGCTACATAACCCCATTGTCTCACACTTCACAAGCATTGTCCTCGCACTCTAACAACCCCCACCGCGAAGAAACCCTTTTGCATGGAAACTCTGGCTTCTTCAGACTGCAAGGAGAGAATGGGCAACAAAGAAAGGAATATGCTAGCAGTTAGGAAGAAAAAAAGAAAAATGCGGCACACCACTGGGATTGGTGAAACGGTATGGCGAGGAGTGTAGCAAGGTCACAGCAGGTACCTGCGGTTGACGATGTTGTGCAGGCGGCACATGTACTGCTCCAGCTCCCCCCTTGACCCTGCCTGAGGAGGGTTGGCCCTGGAGGGGAGGAAACAATAACGATAACAGGAAGCACGGAACGGGCTTAGTAAAGACAGTCTATATAGATTAGGAGGCGATTTAACAGTGTCGCAATGTGATACATGTGAGTAAGCGGGCATGGAAATACAACGAAGCCTCACTTGACTATCTTCTGAAAGTGGTAAGAGCAGATTTTGCAGGGGTAAACGCGGGCAAGGAGAGTCACCTGCAGGAGGAGTAAGGAACAGGAGAATGAATGGGGATGGATGAGAGATGAAAGGACAAGATGGGGAGATCACAGGTGCAGAAGCAAACCAAATTCGCAGAGAAGAATGCAAAACCAGCTGAGACTACTCAGAAGCACGCACACAGGAAGGGACGTGGTCGAAGCAGAAACATCAACCCAGAGCGGGCAAACCATGTGGAAGGCAGCGAGGGCAAGCTTGGATTGCTGCTGCAGAACTCACAAATTCCTTGGCGTCCTTCTGTTGCTGCTTGTTTGGCTTCTCCGGAAACTGCAGAAGGAAGAAGTGGGGGAGGAAGAGCAGGAGGGGTTGCAGAGGCATGCATAACTAAGCTGACTGCACGGAACCTTCCTGAAAGATCCTTCTATGAGACTCCTTGCATTTCGCCTCCTTGCCAGGCGCTCTGCCCCCACCACCCTCGCTTTCCCACACCCCTCCTCACCCCTCTCGCACCTGCGCCGCCAGCGTGTGCAGAAACGTCCATGTGGCGCGCCCCAGCTCCTCCTTGGTCGCTGGCCCCGCCTCCTGCGCTGCCTGAGGTGCTCACGTATGGAAGGGGGGAAGGGCGGGAGGGCGGGACGGCGGGACGGAGAGGTGGGGGAGGAGGGGGGGGAGTACGCACAAGGTCAGGTGTCATGGTCGCGCCACTTCACATGCCTCATGCTGCTTGACGCATGAAATAAACACCACGCATCAACAGCAACATCACCATTCCCAGACGGCGCACCTTCTTGAGAAAGTCCGGAGCAGGACCAGCCCACTCCTCCGCGCCGTCCGCCCCCATCCTCACCCCGCCCGCCTGCTGCTGCCTCTGCTGCCCCGCCTGCCGCCGCCCACCCGGGCTGCTCACCACAACGGCACCACCACGAGCACCACCAGCACTATTAGCAGCAGCGGCAGCAGCAGTAGCAGAGGAAGGGGAAGAACCGGCGGCGCCGAGAGGAGAGGGCGGAGGGGGCCGCAGGAGGGCCGCGAGGGCGCCATCATCATCCTCATCGTAATTGTCATCGTTGCTGTAGTCCAGCTCCTGGTCACAAACACACAGAGAGCGTCACAGCGGGTTACGTTGTAACGCGAATGGAACCGGCAGGCGAGAGGAAGTGAGGGGTAGTGGCGGTAAGGAGACGAGAGGAGAACCACGCACCTCGAATTTCCGTCCGTCGCGTGCCTTGAGCGCACTCCCAGCCAGCACCGCGCCTCCCTCGCGTCTTCCCCTGCCTCTCTCGCTGTCCACGTCAGCCTCCGCCCCACTCACGCGCTGCCTGCCCGCGTACGTCGCTTCCATCGCCCGCGACAGAGACGTGCGAATCGTCGGCAGCTGATTCCGTCGCGCGTCCGTCGCCGACCCGTCACCGTCGAACGCTTTATTAGACACCAGAACTAATCCTTCGATATTCCCATCAGCGGCAGAAACTCTACGCCGTCTGGGTGCCTTGGGCTCTAAAACCGCCTCTTTTGGTCTCCCGCCGCTGATAACGGTCTGCAAAGCTCTAAGCGGATCGGGCAGCCGAAATCCACCAGCCTGCTCGTCAGCGGCCTGACCGCTCCGATCGACTCCCGCGATGGAAGCGAAGGGTAGGGGGAGCGGCACGGGATTGCGACGCGCAGCGTCGAAGCGAGCCACGGCGCCGTGCCAGCCGCGCTCCACTCCCTGGCTGAGCTCCGCTGCGCTCTTTGCGACGAAGCCCTGCAGCTGCGAGAATACCTCGTCGACAGGAGCCATGGCGTGCGGCTCGCGGGATGTCACGACTCATAAGCTGCACTAACGAGTGATAGCAAGCGATGCGTGTTGATTATGCATTCAGGGAACCCTAATGAATGGTGATCGTAGGCTCGAGGCTGCTTTGCTATACGATGCACTGATACTTCTGTGATACTATTGTGCATCAATACAATAAAGTGCTGCGAAACTACAGCTTGGTGCAAGTTATGCGGAACTTCTGACAAAATGTATTACTGTACATGCAATCAAAACTGATTGTCAGGCTCATGCGAACTTTGCAGAACATGTCGGCGGGAGTGGCGTAGCGTGATGCTCTTTGGGAGTGTCAGTCTCACAATTCAAGTGGTGGATCCTGCCAGCACAGCATGACAGCGATGCACCCTCCCTGACTCGAAAAGCCAGAAAGGTTGCGTGTCGCTCTGCTGGGTGGGACAAGCTGCGTCCCCACCAATGCGCTTTGCAATCCCCTAAGTTGGATAATCCGCATTGTCATGACTCATGAATCATCAAGAGCTTGTGAGTGAGCCTTTATTCTTCATTCTGATCAGCATAGCAACCAACTTCCTGTCGCGCTGTATTCCAGAACTCCCATATTGCATGCAACACTCCCTGAAGCTTGTACTGAATTTTGGCCTCAGAAAGCGTGTCTTAGCAATGACTTCCGTCACAGTCCTAGCGTCACTGAGTTCGGCGTCGCTAGCAGTGGCTGCCAAGACATCGTTATCACGCTCTCGTCTGGAAAATCGAGGCGTGACTCCACGTCTGGTCAAGCTGAGAAGACGTGCCAATGGCTTGATTCCCTTACAGAAAAGACGGCTAATTGTTAGGAGAAATGCTCTTCCAAACAATTTTGATCACCCGGGCCAGCAGCCGGCGGCTAAAGAACGAGAATCCACGATATGTGCAGCGGCAGCTGCAGGAGTTGGTCTCATCCCGCATTCTGGAGGGTGAGCATGACAATTGACGAGTATTCCGCTTTAGATTGTGTGAACGTGTTTAACAATTGCTCCTTGCACCACTTGAACAGATTGTTGGACGCAATCCAGAGCATTCCAGAACGATATCCAAGCGTCACAACAGCTACACTTGTCTTCTTCTGGTGAGCCGAAATTCGAATTGTAGATTCACTGTTAGACTGTTTGTGGACTGTCATCATGAGAAACCTGTCATTTGTATGCGCAGGTACTTTCTCAACGTAATCTTCAACATATTGAACAAGAAGATATACAACTACTTTCCGTATCCATAGTGAGTGTTATTTCGTATATGCGTCACATGGTATCTAACGCGAATGTACATACCTGGCTTGCACTGCGTGTAACGGAGCTTCAAAGCCAAGTAGATATCCACTTTGAGCATTCGCTTTTGTTCATGTGTATGCCTGTTCTCTCTTTTTCCCGTCAGCTTTGTGTCTGCAGTTCATCTAACAGTTGGAGTCGTTTATTGTTTGATTTCCTGGGCGTTGAGACTTCCCAAGCGTGCTGTGAGTAACCGTCAAATTCTGCTCTTGAAAAGTTCACTCCTTGTAATACTGACGGTGTTTTTTTTGCCTGCAGCCGATTGACAAAGGCATGCTTGTGCTCCTCGCGCCAGTCGCATTCTGCCACGCGCTTGGCCATGTTATGACCAACGTGTCATTTGCATCAGTGGCTGTGTCCTTCACGCACACGATCAAGTGTAAGCTTGTCTGTCTTGCGAGCACCGTCCAGCCGACTCGGTTGTTTTGCTAACAGCTTGACAAAGACGGGCTTGTTTTTTCGTGCAGCCCTGGAGCCGTTTTTCAACGCGGCTGCATCTCAGTTTGTCCTCGGCCAGCATGTGCCACTTCCACTGTGGCTGTCTCTCCTCCCTGTTGTCCTTGGTGAGTGACTGCCTAGGTTTCTGGCCCTTTGGCTCCACTTCATTACACTGATAGCTTTACATTTCTTACTTCAGGTGTTTCCCTGGCATCCGTGACTGAATTGTCCTTCAACTGGACTGGCTTCCTCACTGCAATGACCTCTAACATTGCCTTCACTTACAGAAATGTGTTTTCCAAGAAAGCAATGGTGAGCGTCCTGTTTGTACAGAAATCTTCTGTGTACGCCATTCGAAGGGGTATCTAACTCATTTCTTACAAATGTTCCAGGTTGGAATGGACAGTACAAATCTCTACGCTTACATTTCCATCCTCTCCCTTCTCTATTGCATCCCCCCTGCCATTCTGGTACGTACGAAGTCTCTGTGGCCATATTTTTCTCTGGCGCATTTTTGCTGATTGACCTTTGGTCCTCCTCGCAGATGGAAGGCCCCAAGCTCCTTGCTGGGGGGTTCACAGATGCAATCGCCAAAGTCGGCATGACCAAATTCTTGAGTGACCTGTTCTGGGTCGGAGTGTTCTATCACTTGTACAATCAGGTGATTGGGGCGTACCTTCCTTGATCCTTTTCAGCATCGTTTTGGAACTGACATCCCAACCTTTGTTCACTGCAGCTTGCAACAAACACCCTTGAGCGCGTCTCGCCACTTACCCATGCTGTGGGAAATGTCCTCAAGCGTGTCTTTGTGATAGGGTTTTCAATCATCATCTTTGGTAAGTTGCAAGTTGATAAGAGCCTTGCTGTTGGTTCCATTTTTTTCCTGCAGTAACCTAACCACTCCCTCCTTATGCTGTCTAAAACATTTTTCAGGGAACACAATCTCGCAGCAAACTGGTATCGGAACAGGTATAGCTATTGCTGGAGTGGCTGCATATTCATTCCTGAAGGCTAGAGAACAAGAGGTGAGATGTTTCTTCTGTATTGTGCGGGCATTACCAGTATGTTGTTTTCCATGTGTTCCTGACGGTGCTACCTGCTTTCTTGCAGAAACGTGCACACTCCTGAGATACTATGCCTAGTGTCATCTGCAAATGGTCCACATAGTTGTTCTGTGTTTTGTTGCTCACGTTTGTGTGTAGGGTGGGGGGATCAAGGAGGAGTAGATTTGACCGTACTCAGGAGCAGGCTGCTCCCAGTTTTGACATTTGTGTTTCTAGAATTAGCTCACACTGTACCACCCTGATTCCCTGTAAAAAGTTGTAGACGCATGGGTGTTATGAATTTATGGGCAGTCCTCTGTCCACACATCAAGAAGGGAGTGAATAACTACACGAAGGCACAAAATTGTTTAGTAAAAACTTGTGACATTCGTTACTGCTACCGACACTAGTTCCTTCACACCGTTCTCCACTGCACCATAAGAGACTGTCAAAAGAATGAACAAGGATGAATGAACTATGAAAGAGTTGGGTACAAGTACTAACCCTAATTGGGTTGTACCCCTTATGGGCTACCCCACTATAGATGTCAAACATATGTTTATATGTTATAGTTTAGGTAGGCTTTAGTGGGGTACTCACTGTGGGGTACGACCCCTTAGGTTTTCATTTTGTACCAACTCTCTCGATAGTCCACCACCTTTTCCTTTACTTACGACATGGTATTAAGAGCGACATAGGTCCCTAGGACCGTTTTAGGACTTTTTTTTCGGGCCCACCAACCGTTTTCCGCCGGTTACCGAGTTACCCCGCCCCTTGCCTACACTGCCCTATGTCGCGCAGCCCTCGCGCTCGCCTCTGCTGGCCCTCGTACAGCCCGCTAGCAGCCCGCCTGCTGCCTCGTCAGCCCCACGCGTAGCCCGCTAGCTGCCCTGTCAGGCCCGCGCACCTCCCCGCAGCCCCCGCGCTGCCTTCTCCTGCCCCGCGCGTAGCTTCGCAGCCCTCGAGCTGCTTTCTACGGCCGCCGACGCGGCCTCGCCCTGCCGCGGTCGCGGCCCCACCCTGCCGCCGACGCGGCCTCGCCCTGCCGCGGTCGCAGCCCCACCCTGCCGCCGACGCGGCCCCGCCTGCGCACTGCCCACCCCCCCCCCCCCCCCCCCCCCCCCCCCCCCCCCCGTCGCCAGCCGCGGCGCCTGTGGGACCCGCGCGCTGCCCTGCACCAGCTACGCCGCCCCTGGTGCAGCCGCCCCTGGAGCAGCCGCCCCTGGACCCCGAGCAGCCGCCCCTGGCCCCTGCAGCAGCCGCCCCTGGTCCAGTCGCCCCTGGACCCAGAGCAGCCGCCCCTGGCCCCTGGAGCAGCCGCCCCTGGAGCAGCCGCCCCTGGACCCCGAGCAACCGCCCCTGGCCCCTGCAGCAGCCGCCCCTGGTCCAGCCGCCCCTGGACCCAGAGCAGCCGCCCCTGGCCCCTGAAGCAGCCGCCCCTCGAGCAGCCGCCCCTGGACCCAGAGCAGCCGCCCCTGGCCCCTGGTGCAGCCGCCCCTGGACCCAGAGCAGCCGCCCCTGGCCCCTGGTGCAGCCGCCCCTGGACCCTCGAGCAGCCACCCCTGGACCCAGAGCAGCCGCCCCTGGCCCCTGAAGCAGCCGCCCCTGGTGCAGCCGCCCCTGGATCCCGCGACGCCGCCCCTGGACCCGCGACGCCGCCCCTGGACCCCGTGCAGCTCGCCCGGCGAGCGCCTGCTCTTCCCGCCACTGGTGAGCACCTGCCTTGTTAGCGCGCTGCCGCGCCATCTGCCTGCCTGCCTGCCTGCCAGCCTGCCTACCTGCCAGCCTGCCTGCCTGCCTGCCTGCCTGTCTGCCTGCCTGCCTGCCTGCCTGCCTGCCTGCCTGCCTGCCTGCCTGCCAGCCTGCCTGCCTGCCAGCCTGCCTGCCTGCCTGCCTGCCTGTCTGCCTGCCTGCCGCGCCTGCTCTGCTAGGCTACTGCTACTGGTACTGGCGGTGGCCAGATGCAGCTCCAGCGACGTCCGCGCGAGTCTCTCACGCCCCAGCAGCTTCGTGAGTGGTACGCTAGTTGGGGTTGTGGCGGTAGTCGTCGTAGCTGTCGCCCTAGAGCTGGTCAGTTGGGAGCGTCTGGCAGTGGCCCGCTGCAGCTGCAGCGGCGTCCACGCGAGACACTTACGTCCCAGCAGCTTCACGAGTGGTACGCTCAGAGTAGGGGGTCTTTGAGTACCGTTCGCTGCCCGTACGTCATTCGCACAGGTGATCGGACGGGTCAGACTTGCGGGACGCTTAGTCACACCCAGTCCCGCTGCTTCGCCCGTCTGAGTGACGCCTGGCGTACCGAGTTTGGCGACGAGGCTGAGCTCCCCGACTGGGTGGAGCTGCTTGGGCAGAGGGTAGATATCTTTGCTCTTGACTATGATGCTATTCTCACTGCCATGTATGCATTGCCTACTAGTGCTGACAGTACCTGTTACCTGTGCGCCACGCCTGACCCAGGTATAGAGCCTGCTGCCCTCGGTGCTGGTGAGGCTGTTGCTCTAGGTGCTAGTGCGTCTCTTGCTCTGGTTGCTGGTGAGGCTGCTGCTCGAGGTGCTGGTGAGTCTGCTCTCTTTGGTACTGCGCCTGCTGAGGCCTTGTACACCTTCACACTTGACTCAGGTGCTTCCCGCTCCTTCTTTCGCGACAGCATCACCCTCACGCCGCTCAGCCGGCCGGTTCCAGTATCCCTGGCAGACCCCTCTGGGGGTCCAGTCCTTGCGCGCTCCTCCACGGTCCTGCCGTGTCCGGCGGTCCCGTCTGGCTCCCTGTCAGGTCTTCACCTCCCCTCGTTCTCTACGAACTTGGTGAGTGGTGCTGACCTCCAGGACCAGTGGGTTGACCAGTTCACTCCTGGAGGTCAGCGCGTGACCCACTGTACGTGCTCCCGGACGGGCCGGCACCTGGCCACGTTTACCCGTGCGCCTGGCTCGAGTTTGTACACACTGACTACTGTGTCCCCTCAGGTCGCTGCGTCTGCGTCTGCGTCAGGTCAGCTAGCGGCCCCCTGCTCGTGTCGCGCTTTGTCGCACCAGACCCTCCTTTGGCACCACCGCCTTGGTCACCCCTCGGTGCAGCGCCTTCGTAGCATGCACCGCCGTGTCCTTGTCTCTGGTCTTCCCAGGGTTCTCCCTCCCCTCCCACCCTCGCCTGCTCCTCCCTGTCTTCCCTGTGTCGAGGGGCGGCAGCGCGCCGCTCCTCACTCCTCCTCGTTCCCTCCCACAGAGGCTCCCCTGCAGACTCTCCACCTGGACATGTGGGGCCCAGCCCGCGTCCGTGGACAGGGCCACGAGCGGTACTTCCTGCTGGTCGTCGACGACTACACGCGTTACACCACGGTCTTCCCCTTGCGCACCAAGGGTGAGGTCCCTGATGTTTTGATCCCTTGGATCCGCGCTGCTCGTCTCCAGCTCCGCGAGCGGTTCGGGATGGATTTTCCCGTCCTGCGTCTGCACTCTGACAGAGGTGGTGAGTTTTCCTCCGACCTCTTGGCAGCCTTCTGTGCAGAGCACGGCATCCGCCAGACGTTCACGCTTCCGGCCTCTCCGCAGCAGAATGGGGTTGCTGAGCGTCGCATTGGCTTAGTCATGGAGGTCGCTCGTACCTCCATGATCCATGCGGCTGCCCCCCATTTTCTGTGGCCGTTTGCGGTCCGGTACGCCGCGCATCAGCTCAACCTCTGGCCCTGTGTCTCCTTGCCGGAGACCTCGCCCACACTGCTGTGGACGGGGAAGGTTGGCGATGCGTCACGTTTCCGGGTCTGGGGTGCTCGTGCCTTTGTCCGCGATACCACCGCGGACAAGCTCTCCGCCCGCACTGTTCCCTGTGTTTTCCTTGGCTTTGTCCCTGATGCACCTGGTTGGCAGTTTTACCACCCCACCTCGCGCCGTGTCTTCCCCTCTCAGGACGTCACGTTCGACGAGTCGGTTCCCTTTTACCGTCTCTTCCCCTACCGCACTGCCCCTCTCCCCCCCCCGCTGCTCTTCCTCGCTCCAGGTGCTCCCCAGGTAGACCCCCTCCCCGCTCCCGGTCCTGCTCCTTCAGGTGTGTCTCAGGTAGACCCTCCTCCCTTGACTTCGCCGGTTGAGGTCACTGGTGACTCAGGTCCTGCTGAGGGTGGTCCTGCTCGGGGTGCTGCTTCTGGGGGTGCTGAGCCTGGGGGTGCGGAGCCTGGGGGTGCTGAGCCTGGGGATGCTGAGCCTGGGCGTGAGGAGTCTTGGGGTGCTGAGCCTGGGGGTACTGAGCCTGGGGGTACTGCACCTAGGGGCGCTGAGGCGTCTGGTGAGCAGTCTCCCTGGAGCGGCTGTCTCCGTAGTCGCTCCGCTGGTACCTCGCCGCTGCACTCTCGTCGTCGACTCCCTCTCTCTCCACAGCAGCTGCGTGAGTGGTACGTTGGCCGTCAGGGTCGCACTGCTGGAGCTAGGAGCCCTGCTGCGGGAGGCGCTGGAGCTGGTGACTCTGCTACTGGAGTTGTTGCTGCTGGAGGTTCTGGAGCTGTTGAGGGTGCTGGAGCTAGAGGTTGTAAAGCTGCTGAGGGTGCTGGCGCTGGAGGTTCTGGAGCTGCTGCGGGTGCTGGCACTGAGGGTTCTGAGTCTACTGTTGCACGGTCTCCTTGGAGTAGCCGCCTTCGTCCGCGTGTGCCTCTCACCTCACAGCAGCTGCACGACTGGTACGGTCGCCGTCAGGGTCGCGCTTCTGGAGCTAGGGGCTCTGCCGCTGGAGGTACTTCTGCTGACGTCACTAGAGCTGGGAGTGGTGCTGGTCCCGGAGGTGCTCGTACTGGAGGTACTGGAACTGCTGGGGCTGGAGGTGCTGAGCTTGGGGGTGCTGCTGCTGGTGGAGCTGGTCCTGGAGG